GAGCCCACAGATGAGACGGGGTCCCCCAGTTACCTCCCTCTGCCTCTTCACACACGCAAAACAAGGCGCATGAAGACGTGAGGACGGGCGGCAGCTGGTTCCATGTCTGAAGACACGAGCCAGGCCATGCATTTGTCCACTTCTTCATCTGTTGCTTTGTTTGTCACATCCATCGATCCACCAGTCCCTCCCTCCCTTCCACTCCCATTCTACCTCCCTCCCAACTTCCTGCCTCCCTCCCACCTCCACCCACCCCCTAAGCATCCATGGAGGCCCACAGTGAGCCAGGCACTGTGCTAGATGCTAAAGGGTCAGAGCTGAACAAGACCCCAGCTGCCCTCGGGAAGCATGCAGTCTAGAAGGGAGAACACAGGTCACCATGTGACTCCCTTGCCAAGGGGAAAGGGCTTTGATGGGACATTAAAAAGAAAAGACATTAAAAAAAAAAGGCAGTGATGCTATACAGGGCATCCAGGCCCCTCCTAGGCCAGCTGCTCTCCGCAGTCTGCTGCCAAGCTAATGGCCTCACTCTGTGTCTCTCTCGGGACGTCACCAGCACCCCAGATGCACTGGAGGGCAGGTAGGAAGTAGTGATCCCGCAGGAGGCCAGGTTGGGCCACACCCAGCAGAGAGGAGTAGCGGTGGTCCCGGAGTGGGTGGGATGGTCAGTCTGGGGCAAGCCATCCAGGAGACTCAAGGTCACTCTATCATTGGGTCTATTCCACAGTGGCTGGCAGGGAATGACATCTGAGAACCATCGTGTGTCATGAGAAGCCCATGGGGCTTATCTCGAGGGCCTCAGAAATGGGCTGGTCCGAACGGTCACACACCGACTTGGTGTCAAAATAGCAGGTTTAGCCACAGGTGCCTGCTCCAGGTGTCTGAGTAGCTTCTCTTTGCATCTCAGTGTCTTCTCTGAGAGGCGGGGGCAGTAGACCGTGGCCTGCTGCCCTCTGGGAACCTGGGTATGTGTTCCAGAGTGAATCTGGAAGTTCCATTTAAGTGGCAATTTGCAGTCAGAGTTTAAGGGGCAGTTGACAGGGAGACCCACCCAGAGCTGTGTCCTCAAGCCACATTCCCTCATCCTGCCCATCACAGGGCTGCCACCATCACCTCCTCCCCTCAGAGGGCGGCAGGCAGCCTCTGAGCTTCTTCCTTTCCTCTCGTCCCTCCTTCTTCCCTCCCCACACCCCTCCACAGTTCCTGGAATGAGTAAGGGAGTCCAGAAGAGCGAGGGGCTGAGAGCCCTCAGTGCCTACAGAAGAACCTGGGTTTGTAAGGGCCTCCAGGGCTGCAAAGGGACACATGGTTTGAGCTCTTGTGTGTGTGGGGTGTTGGGGGTATGTTCAGCACTGGACTGTGACTAATGAGGATAAGGAATAGCCTGTTTGCTGGTATTTAGGGTACACCAATCCCCAGATAGCTCCTCCCACCTATACTATGGAAATTTATCATGGAATCTCATTTCTTTTTCTAGAGATTCCTGGCTCCATAGAAATGCTGTCCTGGTCTCACTTGGCTACTGAGCCATCTCATTCAATTGACATTGAACTTCTCACCCCCACTGAGAGCAGGGTTTGTTTGTTTGTTTGTTTGTTGTTGTTTTGAGACAGGGTCTTGCTCTGTCACCCAGGCTGGAGTGCAGTGGGCGATCCTGGCTCATTCCAGCCTTGAGTTCCCAGGCTCAAGCAATCCTCCCACCTCAGCCTCCCCAGTACATGGGACCACAGACACATGCCACCACACCTGGCTTTTAAAAAATTTTTGGTAGAGACACGGTCTCAATATTTTGCCCAGGCTAGTCTCAAACTCCTGGGTTCAAATGATCCTCCCACCTGAGCCTCCCAAAGTGCTGGGATTACAGGCATGAGCTACCATGCCTGGCCAAGAGCAGGTTTTAACAAGGAGAAGAGGCCAGAAGATGAGACACTTCGGGAGAAGTGGAGATGAGAGAAAGGGGTTTTTTTAGGGCCAGGCATGGTGGCTCAAGCCTGTAATCCCAGGACTTTGAGTGTGGCAGGTGGATCATGAGGTCAGGAGTTCAAGACCAGCTTGGCCAAGACGGTGAAACTCCGTCTCTACTAAAAATACAAAAATTAGCTGGGTGCAGTGGCAGGCACCTGTAATCCCAGGTACTCAGGAGGCTGAGGCAGGAGAATCACTTGAACCCAGGCAGCAGATTACGCCACTGCACTCCAGCCAGGGTGATAGAGTAAGACTCTGTCTCAAAAAAAAAAAAAAAAGAAGCGGAGTTCTTTCATGAGTGGAGGGGCTCACGCCTTTTAATCACCTAGCACATGCCAGGAGCTGCCAGAGGCTGAGCTACGTCACCCAATTCCATCTTCACAACAGTCCTATGCCAGGGTATAACCAGCTCCATTTCACAGATGAGGATGTGGAGGCTCAGGGGAGATAATGTCCCTTAATCGAGGTCACATAGCCAGGAGGTAGTGAAGTCAGGATTCCTACCCAGAAGCCCCTGCTCTTCCCACTGTGCCCCTTCTGGGGTTGGCTGGGCACAAAGAATTGCCGCACATTTCACAACCTTTCCCCAGGAAAGCACCAATATTGAGCAGGTAGAGGGAACCTGACAGGCCACACAGCTGAGGCTCTGTTGCCTGAGGCAGCCAAGGCCTAAGTTCATCATCCAAGCCACCAAGACCCACCGCCCTCCAGAAGGCTCAGCAGGTCATGCCTCAGGGGCTCCAAAATGGCCAGTAGGCTGAGAAAATCCCCAGGCTGTGCAGTGGGGCCTGCCATTCTGAAACCAGAAACTGCAACTCCACCCCCTCCCCATGGCAGTGGGCCTAGGGGAGGGGAATAGGGGTGCTGGGATCCCACAGCAGCCCTACAGGGAAAGGAGGCACCTTAGATCCAGCCAGATGGGGAGGGGCATCTGGTCTCAGCATAACCCCCTTCCAAACCCTGACAGTAGTCCCTGGGAAAAGCACAGTCCCCTCTCAGCCCCAGAGACAGTTTCTCCCTAGGATATGTGTACTTGGAGCAGAAAGTTACCCTACACCCCAGGCCTCCCTGCCTCTGCCACCCACACTTCTGGGCCCCCGGCAGGGACTGTGCCCTGGTGGGAACAGCTGGTAGCCCGTGTGCTTCCACCCCCACCTTCTCTCTGTTCTGGACTTTCAGGTCATGACACACGGGGAGGAAAAGAAGGCTGTGGTGGGAGTGGAGCCTTAGCGGGAAAGGGGGTATGGATCCTTAGGAATATAAAGGGCCTCAGAGGCCCTGGCCAGAGACGCTTTGCTGTGCTCCTCTGCATCTGCCCAGCACCATGGTAACGTCTGGTGGCCAAGTCTGGGCCCCCTATCAGCTATATTCTCTAGGAGCTTGGGGATGGGGGCTGGCAGCAAGGGCCCCTCCTCAGGCCCACTAAGGGCATGAAAGAGTTAAGCCAGGGAGCCTCATCTGCCACTCTGATGGCCAGGACAGCTACTAGGGCTTCTTATCCCTGTGTGGGGTGGCGGAAATAATGAGGGGAGTTCCTGGTTAAAAGAGGGTTGAGGGGCTTAGGAGCTCTGGGGGTGTGTGTGGTGCTTACAAGCATCATAGTCTGTGAATCATTGTATGTTGCAGGCACACAAAATTCTCTGTGCATTGGGTGTGTGAATCCTCAGGCTGGCTTTCCTGTGTGTGACTGTTAGTCATTCATTTAATATGTATTATTGAATATCTACTAAGTGTCAGGCCCTGTTCTAGGTGCTTGTGATACATCAATAGACAAAATAGGCGAAGAGCCCAGTTGTAATTAATGATACACTGAGGGAGGAGATGCTGCTGGAAAGGGACTCAGACAACAAATATAATAAATCTAGAATATAGTAAGTTAGAAAGTACAGGCTGGGTGTGGCGGCTCATACCTGTAATCCCAGCACTTTGGGAGGCGAGGAGGGAGGATCACTTGAGGCCAGAAGTTTAAGACTAGCCTGGGCCACATAGCAAGACTCCATCTCTACAAAAAATTAAAATTTAGTTGGGCATAGTTGTATATCCGTGCACCTGTAGACCTAGCTACTTGGGAGGCTGAAGCAAGAGGAGGGCCTGAGCCCAGGAGTTTGAGGCTGTGGTGAGCTACGATCCCAACATTACACTACAGCCTGGGAGGTAAAACAAGACCTGTCTTTAAAAGAAAGAAAGAAAGAAAAGAAAAGAAGTACAAAAATAGAGCAAGAAAAAGATAAAGCAAGATGAGGGGTCGGGTTGAAATATTATTTTCTTTATTTATTTTTTAAATTGTAGAGACGGGGCTCTGTCTGTCTTTTGCCCAGGCTAGTCTGGAACTCATGGGCTCAAGCAGTCCTCCCACCTCAGCCTCCCAAAGCGCTGGGATCCAAAGGTGTGATCCATCATGCCCTGCCAGGTTGCAATTTTAAATAAGGGTGTCACAGTAGGACCCATTTCAAAGGTGGGTTTTGAGCTAATGCTTACAAGGGGCGACAGAGCTGGCCATGAGGATGTCTGAAGGAAGAGTCTTCTAAGCAGAGAAAGCGAGAACAGCAGGGAGAAAGGAGGGGGATACCCAAGGAGTTTGTGGGTGAGAGGCTGGTGAGGTTAGGGAGCTTTATGCCATCCTCGTGCGACCACCTTAGGGTGTGTCTCCTGATTTTTTTTTGTTTTTTTTTTGAGACGGAATCTGGCTCTGTCGAGCAGGCTGGAGTACAGTGGCGCTATCTTGGCTCACTGCAACCTCCACCTCCTGGGTTCCAGCAATTCTCCTGCCTCAGCCTCCCGAGTAGCTAGGATTACAGGCGCCCACCACCGCGCCCAGCTAATGTTTGTATTTTCCGCAGAGACGGGGGTTTCGCCATGCTGGTCCGGCTGGTCTTGAACTCCTGACCTCAGGTGATCCTCCCACCTCGGCCTCTCAAAGTGCCGGGATTACAGGCGTGAGCCACGGCGCCCGGCCTCCACGTTCATTTTTACCTGTATGCTCTGCTTGTATCACTGGGCATGTCCAGGTGTGCACCATTCCCCCGGGCACCAGGATGTCCCTTACGGCGTCCGTGCACTGGTGTGTCTCAAAAACATACGCGTCCCTCGGTCTGAGCGCCCCTGCACCCACCGCGCGAAACACCTGCAAGCTCCGGTCCCGGAGCCGCGGGACCCCAGCTCCGGCGTCACGTGACCGCTCGCGGCTCTGTCTGCCCCGCCCCCTCCAGACACCTGCTCTGCGCTGCGCATGCGCCTTGTCCATAGCGGGCCTCTTGTCGCTGCTCCTGCCGCCCGAGGGCGTCCTGGGCGAGGAGCTGCCAATGCCGCAGCCCAGGGCCGCCAGTTGGCTGAACTTAGACTCCATCAAGAAGTACGTGGGGAAGCTCTTCAACAAAAGGTGGGCAGGCGGAGGGTGCGAGGGAGGAAAACGGGGGCTGCGGGGGGAACACGGAACCCCCTCGCCGCCCTCACGCGTATCGCGGCCCGAGCTGGGCTCGGGGAGCGGCCTCATGACCGCTGCAAAGACGTGTTCCCAGCCCGAAGAAATCTAAAAACCACAAGAAAACTGCGAACGCCACGACCACGTCCCTACCGAAAGCCACTAAACCCCCTCCATGGATCGCCACGAACCCCCAGTGGCTGAACACCTCGAAACCCCGACCACCGACCTCCTCCCGGGGCCCCAGGTAGGACAGCCTGGACGCTTGGCACCGAGCCCGGGTCTCGGGGCAGCTTGGGTGGCAGCGAGAGGAAGCTCCCGGGGGCAGGCGTACAGGGAGATACCAGCTCCTGGGGGGGCTTCTCCAGGCTGGGCCTTGGCCTCCAGATGCCTCTTCGCCCACCAACCCCTTTCTGTTGAGAGGGGCATCAACCCCTCACCATCTCCTTAGTGAAAACAATAAAGACAAATTTCTGTTGCTTCAGTGACTTCTGTGGGCCTGGGGGCAGGGAGTGACGGGTCGGTCCATCGAGGGGGAAGGGGGACCCTCGAATTCCTGCTGTGAGAGAAAAAGACCTCACCTGCCGGGGGCTGGGAGGGGTGCTCCCCTGCCTCCCTCAGCGACCCATCCACCTTCCCCCACCTCATCCCACACACCACCACCAGCATGGGGGGTTCTAACCCAGAGGTAGAGAAGAGGTGAGAGCAGCAGGAACCTCAAAGGAGGGGCTTCAGCTAGACACACTCCCACTCCCACCTGGCTCAAGTTTCTACCCAACAGCCCAGCTTGGGCCATCAGAATTGGCACAGGAACAAGAAGAGGTGCCTTTGCCCCTCGGCATGCAGAGCCTAGGGGGCCGCCTTTGCCTCCTGGACTTGTAAGCCTTTCTGGGGTGAGCAAAGCAGGGGAAGGGATGAAGCCTGGCCAGGGCCTGTCCCTGAGAAGCTGGGTGTGAGGGTGGCTCTCTCTTCTGGGGGCTCCCATGGCCATCAGGGAGACCTGGGGTGGGCAGAGCCCTGCCCTGATCCTACTCTCACATCCAGGTTCATCTGTGTCTCCAGGGTGCCAGCTCCTGGGGATAGGAAGTATCCGCTCCTCCCCATTCATAGCCCATCCCTTAAACTGCCAGAGAAAATGCTGGAACTTCAGGCTCCTTTACCCAGACTCGAACCATTCTCTTGCAAAACCATCTCTCCTTCCAGACACCCCTTGGATTTAAGAATCAACCAGAGGTCAGACACGGTGGCTCACACCTGTACTCCCAGAACTTTGGGAGGCCGAGGTGAGCAGATCACTTGAGCCCAGGAGTTTGAGACCACGCTGGGCAACATAGCAAGACCCTGTCTCTACAAAATTTTTTAAAAATAGCTGGATGTGGTGGCATGTGCCTGTAGTTCCAGCTACTTGGGAGGCTGAGGCAGGAGGATTGCTTGAGCCCAGGAGGTCAAGGCCACGGTGAGCTGTGATCATGCTGCTGTACTCCAGCCTGGGTGCCGGAGCAAGACCCCTGTCTCCAAAAACAAACAAAAAATCAATATGAGCCAAGCAGCTGCATCCTCTAGAAGTTCTTTGCCTTTTAGGACCTAGGGCTGAGCTCCCTAGGAGGACAGGGCAGAAGACAGCAGTGTAGGGGGCAGGCCTCATGCCCTCAGCAGGCCTCAGGCTGGCCCTGGGCTCCTGTTCTCCCTCTTCCAGGTCATTTGCACACACCAGATGGAGTCAGGACTTGAGGGGAAACACAATTGTGGTGTCATTTCCATTTCTGTGCAAGGTACAGATCCCAGGAAAGTGGATCCCTCATCCTCCAAACCCATAACCCTATCCCTTCAGGCCAAGCATGTGGGGAAGGCAGGAGAAGCCATTCTAGGACCCGGAAACATTCTAGTTCCCTCACTTCTGCCCATTACACAACCGCGTGCACACACACGCACGTGCACTGTCACCACCTATTCAGAGTGCCTGAGAAGGGTCAGCAAGAGACAGGTGCTCTGGGACTCTGGGCAGTCCTCCCTGGGGCAGGATCCAGGTCCTCGCCCTCCCAGGGCTGGAGTGTGGAATCCACAGATTCAACTCATGGTGCTGGCTGGAACTCAGCTAATCTAGCCTCCTCCCCTTCCACAGCAGCTTGAACACCTCCTGTGCCCAGGACTTCACTACCTCTCCAGGCAGCCCATTCTCTCCAAATTTCTGGACGGCAGCTCAGGCCCGTGGAGGCAGCCATGACTGCTGTAGCACCAGAATCATTCCCCCTCCATGCCAAGAACGCGTTAGTATAAATTTGGGTGCTTCTGCTGCCTAGGCTGCAGGAAGGCACTGTTGAGGGGTGCACTTGGGGCAGGGTTGTCATCGGGCCATGTCGGGGCGGTCTACAGCTGCTGAACTGGGAAGATTCAAACTCAAGACTGCCGCTTCATAGACTTGCTGAAAAACCATGGAGGATTCCCTGCCTTCCTCTGGCCACAACTTGTCCCTGTGTGAAGTGGAGAGAATGAGCTGAGTGACTCTGATGACCCCACCAACCTTCTGGATGATCCCCTTTGCCTCCACCCTGCCCTCCCCTTTCTCTCCCTTGCATTTGGTACTTCCTGCTGCCCCCCACCAGGGATCCACAGAGACAAAGGACAGGCCATGGCTTTGACTTGCTTTATTGAGCCTGTGTGGGAGCAGGGAGCAAGCTTTGGCCAGAGTCAAGGGTGCGGAGGGGAGAGCTGGGCTGGCACTGCCCATGGAGTCAGCAGAGGCAGGAGGTGGCATTATAAGTCCATCGGGCTGAGCTCCCTGGGAGGACAGAGCAGAAGACAGCAGTGTAGGGGGCAGGCCTTGTGCCCTCAGGAGGCCTCAGGCTGGCCCTGGGCTCCTGTTCTCCCTCTTCCACCCCCACCACACCTTTTCAAACCCTGATTCAGTCCCACCACCCCTACTTCAGCCCCAGGGAGCTGGACAGACAGGACGGGGAGTCAAACTCACCAGGGGCCAGCAGCATGGGGGGAGCCCCACTCTGAGAAGGCCAGCGTGTCCTCTTTCTGTCTTTTCCCATATCTGGGAGGGAAGAGGCAGCTGCAGCAAGCGCTGTGCCCAGGTGCCAACCCCCCATTTCATAACTGCCTGTAGGCACCATCTTGCCCAGGGCACACGGGCCCAGGTCTGTTCAGCACAGATGCCCTGTTTTCCCAAGAGCAGGCATGGAAGGGGCTGGGACTGCGGATAGGGCATGGCCAGGAATGTTGGGTGGGCCCAGGGTCCCAGGGGCTGGGATCTCTCTCGCCGACCACAGCACACACCTAGGCCTGGTCAGCATGTTGATGTATCTACGGAGATCAGCTGCATACTGGGCCATCTGCTCTGGCGTGGCATTGTCCCCTGGGTACACTGGCTCCAGTGGAGCTCCCTGGGCACCCAGCAGTGGCTCCAGTAACAGAGCCACACAGGTGGACAGGAGCAGCAGGGAGAGGCAGCGGCGTGCAGCAGCCATCTGAGGAGCAAGCAGAGGTGGAGGCGGAAGAGCGCCAGGGCTGCAGATTTTCCTGTGCCCAGGAAGCAGGGCCCATCTATCCAGCCCCTTGGCCCATCATCCATTTCTCTAAGCCTGGGGACAAGGGGGCAGAGCAAAGGGCCACTCTGAGCTGACTACTATACCTCCCAGACACTGCCCTAGAGGCATGGACAGCCTGTCCTGTGAGAGCCCAGCAGCTGGGACCTCGCAAGTTAGCAAAGTGTAGCAGGGGAAATGGGGACATGAGTCCTGGAGAGACAGGACTGATGACATCCAGGGCCTCATGGCTCCAAGGCGGCAGCAGCTAGTGGGAAATAAGGGCATGCCAGGTCACCCACAGGGTAGGGGACACAGAATGAACTGGGGAAGCAAAGTACAGAAATCCATGGCCTTGTGGGTCTGGCCCTCCTCCCCAAGGTAGAGGAACAGATATGGGTCCTGGAGAGGACACAGACCGGCGTAGGCACTCACACAGGGATCCCAGTCACTCACAAGGTCACAGTCACACACTCCAGTTCACAGCCACGCACATGAGTGTGCACACACACTTGCAGTCAGCAGGCGGCTCTTCTAGTGTGACAGGTCTGTCCAGATGCATCGCAAGACCCAAGCAGGACCTTAGGCTTCCCGAGGCCCCTGGCCCTGCAAAGCACCAGTTTCTTCCCTCCATCCCAGGCCCCAGCCTGGGGGAGGCCCCCAGAGCCTCAGGCAGGCTGAGCCCACTTACCCAGAGTCCGGAGTAGATGGGCACTGGACAAGCGGGCAGCTGCCTCAGGCTGGATGGGCCCCTGCCCTTGGCTGGCCTCTTTATAGTCCTCAGCCCCCCAGAGTCCCCGCCTCCTGTCAGCCTCCCTCACTCCGCAGCCCTCACCCCCTCCTCCCGCTCTCTCTCGGTACTGGCAACGCAGGTACTGAGGCCAGAGATAGGAGGGGGACCGGGCAGTGCTGTGGGTGCCAGGCCAGCAGCGTCACAGATAAAACTGGACCACAGGAGAAGTCTCCTGCAGGCCTGCATTGCTGACACCCCTTCCCTCTGGGCACCAGAGCAGGCTTGGTTCAAGAAAGATAGGGTTCTGGGACTTGAGGGTGACTGAAAACTTTTGGTCACAGGCCTTGGAGCTGGCCCTCCTGCCTCCTAAGGATCAACCCAAATCATCCAACAGATTCCCTCGGGGCAGAAGATTGAGGCTGCAGCTGGAGCCTCCAAAATGAAGAGTGGAAACTCAGGCCATCCTCTGCAGTTTGCAACTGAACAAGGTGGGAGCAGGGAAGGGGTCTCAGGTCTTAAGGCAAGTTGGAAAGGAGGAGGGTACCAGCCTTGGAGAAACTCATTTGGTGGGTGCATAGGATGCAGAATGAGAACAAATGTGCCTGGGTTCAGGGGAAAGGTTGAGGTGGTGCCGGTTTCCGGTCGCCATTTCCCCTCCCATCCCAGAGCCCCAACCCCAAGGGAGTGCTAAAAAAAACCAGCATCATTTGTAAAGCCACACATTTGCCAAAGTGCTCCCAGCTCAGTCACCTCACTAAATCCCCACCACAACCCACTTGACAGATTCAGGATCTGAAATCTGCTCAGAGGTGTCAAATAACTGGCCCAGACCACATAGCTAGTCAGTGGGAGACCCAGGGTTTCAAACAAAATCTAGCTCCAAAGTCTAACTCCAAACCTGGACTGTTTTTTCCCTAAGTGGAGCTGTCAAAGTATTGGTATAATTTCCCACTTTTTGGCTGAGAAAGCTGAGGCTCACAGAGAAAAAGATGCTTGCTCAAGATCTCATCGCTACCTAGGTCTTGAATTCTGGCTTAGAGCCTTAGCCTCACTAATCCACCCCCACCAGAAGCCCCTGAGTATCCCTGTCCAGCGCCTCTTCCCAACCCCCAGTCTCCCTCCCCAGCTTAGGCCAAGGAGTAGTAACTGGCTGTGTCTGAATGACACGGTGACACCAAGTAGGGAGCTAAGGACTTATCACTGCTAACGTTCTGCTGTCCCAGATCAGCACACCAAGAAGTTGGGAGGTGGGAGTGCTGCTGGGGAAGAGGAGACCCGAGGTGAAACTCCAGGATCTGGCAGGGTGGGTTTAGAGTCAGACAGACCTGGGTCAAAATTTTGGCTCTGCCATTGGCTGGCTGTGTGAGCCTGGGAAAGTAATTTCTTTAGCCTCTCTGAGCTTCACTTTTTGTCTCTGTAAAATGGGCTCATCACACCCATCTCAAGACAGAATAAAGGAAGGCTCAGCAAACAGCAGTGTTCTGCCTTGATCCTTTCAATTTTGATTTCTAGTAACAAGAACAGCAATAATGCTTCACCAGACACCTTACATTCCACAACGCAGAGATGAAAGTCATTCTGTCTCAGCAAGCCCGGGCCTTTCTCTGGACTGAAGTTTTCCACTTGCAAAACAAGAGTGTGAACTGGCCTTGGGTTTGGGAGGTAGAGGTTGCAGCTCGCCACCAGGGGGCGCCAGGCTCCAGCCCTAGTTAAAAGGTCCTGCGCTCCCACAGAACCATGGCCTGGAGGGACCTGTTCTGGCTGTTACTAGTTTGAGGACCCAGCCCTACCCGACAGAGAGTGGATCTAAGGATTGACTCAGATGCCAGGGCCACTTACAGTTCTAACCTGTTGCAGAGGTAAACCTAAGTGCCTAAGAAATAGGTACTCTGCAAACGTCAACCAAACTGTAGCTTTCATTTTTCTCCTTTGCAAACAACAGATTTGTCTTCTGTGTCCTCTCAGGGATGTGGTGACAATCCAGGAGGAAGTGGTAGTAGATGTGCTTTCTACGCTGCATGACCACGTGTATTAGCTCATTTTCATACTGCTGTGAAAATAACTGCCCAAGGCCGGGCATGCTGGCTCACACCTGTAATCCCAGCACTTTGGGAGTCTAAGGTGGGTGGATCACCTAAGGTCAGGAATTCACGACCAGCCTGGCCAACATGGTGAAACCCCGTCTCTACTAAAAATACAAAAATTAACCAGGCGTGGTGGTGCACACCTGTAATCCCAGCTACTTGGGAGGCTGAGGCAGAACTCGGGAGGCGGAGTTTGCAGTGAACCAAGATGGCACCACTACACTCCAGCCTAGGCAACAGAGTGAGACTCCATCTCAAAAAGAACAAAAAGAACTCCCCAAGATTGGGTAATTTATAAAGGAAAGAGGTTTAATTGACTCACAGTTCAGCATGGCTGTGAAGGCCTCAGGAAACTTACAATCATGGCAGAAGGCATAGGGGAAGCAGGCACCTTTCTCACAAGGCGGCAGGAAGAAGTGCAGACCAAAGGGGAGAAGAGCAACTTATAAAATCATCAGCTCTCGTGAGAACTCACTCACTATCATGAGAACAGCATGCAGAAGACTGCCCGCATGATTCAATGACCTCCACCTGGTCTCTCCCTTGACACACAGGGACTCTGGGGATTATAATTCAAGATGAGATTTGGGTTGGGACAAAAGACTAACCATGTCCCCATATCTAGAACACAGCGATGATGCTCACTCATCTTCATGTGTCCCTGTCAGAGGTGTTTGAACCAGAGTGACTCCATCTTGAACAGGAGCTGGATAAATGAGGCTGTGACCTGCTGGGCTGCATTCCCAGGAGGTCAGGCATTTTTAGTCACAGGATGAGACAGGAGGCCGACACAAGCTACAGGTCACAAGACCCTGCTGATAAAACAGAATGAGGTAAAGAAGCTGGTAAGAACATGGGAAAACCAAGCGGGCGATGAAAGTGACCGCCGATCATCCTCACTGATCTTTTCTTTTTTTTCCTTTTTCAGCAGAGACGGGGTTTCACCATGTTGGCTATGCTGGTCTCGAACTCCTAATCTCAAGTTATCTGCCACCTCAGCCTCACAAAGTGCTGGGATTACAGGCCTGAGCCACCGTGCCTGGCCTTACTGATCGTTATACACTAATTATAATGCATTAGCATGCTGAGAGATGCTTGCATCAGTGCCAGTTTACAAATGCCATGGCAACATCTGGAAGTTACCCTCCGTGGTCTAAAATGAAGCAGAACCCTCACTTTTGGGAAATCCTCATCCCTTTCCTGGAAAACTCATGAATAATCATCCCTTGTTTATTAGTATATGATCAAGACATAACCATAACAATAGCCCAACAGCAGCCCTGGGGGCTGCTCTGCCTGTGGAGTAGCCGTTCCTTTGCTTCTTTACTTGTCTTTTATTTATTTATTTTATAGAGATGGGGGCTCACTTTTTTGCCCAGGCTCAAATGATCCTCCTGCCTCGGCATCCCAAAGTGCTGGGATTACAAGTGAGAGCCATCACACCTGGCCCTTATTTCCTTACTTCTCTAATAAACTTACTTTCACTCTACTCTGTGGACTCATTCTGAATTCTTTCTTGCCTGAGCTCCAAGAATCCTTTTTTGGGGTCTGGGTCAGAAACCTTTTTCAGTAACATTCCCATTGCCACAGAGCCCTGCTTAAAGAAAGCACCAATTCCCGGCCTGCAGCTGCACTGAAAGACGATAGTGGTGCCTCTTCCCCTGCCCAATGCCATGCCCTCTGGCACATGGCGGATGGCCACTGGCAGTGATGGGATGGAGTAAGCCCTCTGAGACCAGGAGAGGAACACCCCAGAAACACCTGAGGTCACAGAGTGAATGAAGGCAGCTAAAGGAGCAAAGGGAATGGGGGCCCCCACATACGTGACCCCAGGGCAGTTTGTCCCACACTGTGTCCTTCACCACACCCTGCCTCCTCCACCCACCCCCACCTCCCCACTCCTCCCCCCCCCACCCCACCCCCCCACCTCCCCTTGCTCAGAATCTCATGAGTTCTGGGCCTCATGGGGGCAGCAGGAGGAGATGAAGAAGCAGGGGTTCTGCAAGGAGGGCAAAGCTGCATGAGGAGCCAGGGGACGGCTTGCTGTTTTTTGGGGGTTTTTTGTTTGTTTATTTATTTGTTTGTTTTTGAGACAAGCTCTCACTCTGTCACCCAGGCTGGAGTGAAGTGGCATGATCATGACTCACTACAGCCTCTGTCTCCTGGGCTCAAGGGATCCTCCCATCTCAGCTTCCCAACTAGCTGGGACCACAAGTGCATGCCACCATGGCCAGCTGATTTTTTTTTTTTTTTTTTTTGAGATGGGGTTTCACTCTTTGTTTCCCAAGCTGGAGTGCAGTGGCTCGATGCAAACTCCCCCTCCCAGGTTCAAGCGATTCTCCTGTCTCAGCCTCCTGAGTAGCTGGGATTACAGATGCCCGCCACCACGCCCGGCCAATTTTTGTATTTTTAGTAGAGACAGAGTTTCACCATGTTGGCCAGACTGATCTTAAACTCCTGACCTCAGATGATTCACCCGCCTCTGCCTCCCAAAATGCTGGGATTACAGGCATGAGCCACTGAGCCAGGCCTAATTTTTTTTTTTTTAATATTTTGTAGAGATGGGCTCAAGTGATCTACCCACCTCACTCAGCCCCCCAAAGTGCTGGGATTACAAGAGTGAGCCACTGCACCTGCCCAAGATGTTTTCTGCGGTTTTTTTTGTTTTTACTGTTGCTTTTGTGTGTGTGTGTGATGAAGTCTTGCTCTGCTGCCCAGGCTGGAGTGCAGTGGCATGATCTCAGCTCACTGCAGCCTCCCCCTCTTGAGTTCCAGCGATGCTCCTGCCTCAGCCTTCTGAGTAGCTGGGGTTACAGGCACACACTACCCCGCCCAGCTAATTGTTGTATTTTTAGTAGAGACGGGGTTTTGCCATGTTGGCTAGGCTGGTCTCAAACTCCTGACCTCAGGTTATCTGCCCACCTCAGCCTCCCAAAGTGCTGAGATTACAGCCACGAGCCATTGCACCTGGCCAG